CAAAATTTCCACTACTGGTTCTCCAGAACTGGTCAGAACCTGCTGAAAACCCACCTCTGGTTGTCTGGAATCTTTTCCTGAAAACCTTCAGCGTTGAAGCACTCACAACTTCTGGAGGGAAGTCCTTCCACTGATTAAATTCTTCTCACTGTTAGGAATTTTTTTTTTCTTGGTTCTAGGTTACATCTCTATCCATTTTTTTCTTGTTTTGCCTTCAGGTACTTTGGAGAATTAGATGGACCCCCTCTTCTTTGTGGCAACCTCTCAAATATTGGAAGACTCGTGTGACCCCCAGTCCTTCTTTTCATTAAAGTAGACATACCCAATAAGATTTGTCTGGCATGCTATATTTTTGAGAAGCCCATATTGGCTTATGGTTATGACTTTGCTTGGTTCTAGGTGTTTTCAGATCGCTTGCTTGATTATTTTTTTCCAGGATTGGTATCTGGGGAGATCCTGAAAAAGATATTCAAGCAACTGATCTGTGAACACCTAGAGACAAGCAAAGTTATAACCAGTAGCCATCATGAGTTTGTCAAAAGCGGATCATGCCAATCTTATTGCATTCTTTGACAAAATGACCAAAGAAAAATGCAGATTAAAATTTAAATGTTCCTCTGCCAAATGCTGCATACTTAATACAGGTAGTCCTTGTGACCACAACTAAGCCCCAAGTTTCTGTTGCTGAGACATTTGTTAAGTGAATTTTGCCCTATTTTATGACGTATCTTGTCATAATTGTTAAGTGAACCACAGCAGTTGTTAAGTGATTCAGACAATTGTTCAGTGAATCTGGCTACCCCATTGACTTTGCTTGTCAGAAGATTGCAAAAGGGGATCACATGATCCTGGAACATTACAACCATCATATATATGAGTCATATATGTCAAGCGCCTGAATTTTGATAATGTGACCATGGGGATGTTGCATTGGTTGTAAGTGTGAAAAATAGTCATGGTCACTTTTTTCAATGCCACTATAACTTTGAACAGTCACTAGCTGTTGTTAAGTTGAGGACTACCTGTACATAAAAGCTAAGGGAAAAACACACATGTATGTCAATAAAGCCTAGAATAAATAAATATCTCTTTTTAGTTTCACCTCTAACAAAAGCTGCTGAGTTTATTTATCATCTATCAATACATTTGTGCAAATTTTACCTTTAACAGTCAATACAGCTGAAGTTTTCTGATCTCCACAAATACAGGTGTAACGTCCAGCATCCTCAACTTCTAAATTGCGGATTACCAACTCAGCGACAGACGCTTCCTGTCTCAACTGGTATTTGTCCCCTTTTAATTTGTTTTCTTCCTTCATCCATTCCACAGGAGCAGCTTTGGTGAGCTCACAATGCAACATGGCTGTTTCATTTTCGATGGCTGCCACATCCTTCAGTTCCTGTTTGAATTGGGGAGGTAGCGCTGAAGGACATAAGAGAAGGGAGTGAAGATTGTCCAGGGGTAGATGGACTTTGGACAAAGTTTGGTCAGAGGTAAGGAAAAGGAATCGATGTAAGAAAAAATAGAGTATGTCCTTCTCTTCCTTTCTTTATATTTTTCCCTTCCTGCCTTTCTCACTGTTATCCTTCCTTCCTTCTTTCCCTTCCTCCCGCCCT